AAAAAAAAAAAAAAAAAAAGACAAGTATGAGTTGTCCATAAGTCAGACGTTCATAACCTGGGGACTGCCTATGTATGTCAGTATCCTCATTGTGATATTGTGCTATAGTTTTACAAAATGTTAACATTGGAGAAAAGTGGGCGAAGTGTACAAGGGATCTCTCTCTATTATTTCTTTTTTTAAATAACTCACCTGCCTGTATTATTTCTTACAACTGCATATGAATCTACAATTATTTCAATAAAAATTTTAATTAAAAGAAAACATGGGGAAAACCTATAAATTAAAAGACTTATGATACAGATGAAACAATTTCCAGATATGTGCCTTATTATTGGATCCTGATTTAAACCAACTGTAAAAAAAAAAAAAACTCTATGAACCAGATATAGTCATGTATGGAAATCATGTCTTAGCACTTTTGTATATCACTCTACAAGGGATTCTCTCTACAAGGGATTCTTTGCAATGGCCGTGTTACCCTGTATAATGTTAGAATGCTAATTAACTATTGAAATGCAAGTTTTTCACCAGCTAAATATTTAATCCTATTTCAATAAGACATTTAATTTAGATATAAAATCTCACAAGAACACAACCGGGGAGTGGTATAACTATTGAGAGAAGCTGCTTAAATGTGTAACAAAATAATAAACTTTTATGAAAATGTTCCTGCAGGTATGCTGGTATCCTCCTGGGCATCACAAATACATTTGCCACTATTCCAGGAATGATTGGACCTGTCATTGCTAAAAGCCTGACTCCTAATGTAAGTAGATAATTTGTTTATAAACTGAGAAGGTCTGAACAGTTCAGTTGGAGTTGCATATGTGTGTCAAAGTTGAATACATTTTAATTGAGAGCAAAATTCTGTTATTTCTTACACAATTCTTTATAGCACCAAAAAGCTAAAGGTCTTAGTGGATAAGAAAGTATATTTTCAAAGAACACTCTCAGGATTTTAGAACAATAGAACTAAGTTAAATTAAGATCTTATAGCTGAAACCCCACAAGTAGTTAAAAGTTGTGATATTATACCAGATAAGTCACTTGTGTCTTGGACAAATAAAAATGGCAGTTTTTTCTTCAAGAAGAGATGATGTGTCAGGAAATCATGTCAGAATAAATGAGGAACAGTTGAAATAACTGAAAATATTTAGAGGAGCAGAACACTTGAAAAAACAAGATAGGTGTCTTCACATATTTGAAGAGAGATCAAATGAAAGTTGGAGACTTATTCTCAGCAGTTCCACAAGAACAGATGGAGAGAAGTTATGAGGAGACATTGGAAAAGTTCTCTGCTTAAACTGTTACTAGATAGAATGGGCTGTCTTGTGAGTCAGTGAGCCCTGAGATAGGCAAACATTTATTCAGTAGGCATGTCGTGAGTGCTTGTTATATGCTGGATACTAAAGATTCAAAGATAATGACATAGCTTCTAGACTCAGAAACTCATTGTATAGAGATTATGTGCAATCAAATAAAGCACAGTTGACAGATGCTTCAGTAAATATGTGTACAGAATGCTATGGATACAGAAGAGGGATCGAACAATTTGCCAGGGTGGAAAAAGTGGGGAAGGAGCCCTACGGGTGTCTGCCAAGTGACATGGTAAGTGCTGGGCCTTGCAAGGATACTGAGCTGTTATAATAGCATAGGCCCAGGATGGGTATAGCCTGAAGCTGGAAGGAGGACCAGATCAGTAAGCAGAGATTTCGCATTGTACAAAGGTTGTCTGCATTGTGTAAGAAATCGCAATAACTGACCTCAATCACCCTGTCCAACTCATCTGTTGTTTAAAAATTCTAAAGTACTTGTGAAATGTGTTTTTTCAAGAGTCTGATTAAGTCTCTGACAAAAGTCTTAATTTCCTCTTTGTTTATGTCTCTGTGGTCAAATTAACACTGTATCTAGTCCCTGGAATGTTAGGATAATCTTACAGACTTTCTTATTACCAAATATACTGATTTCACACATGTATGTCTTCACCGCAGATAGTGTTCCTATTTCTTCTTCTCTCCCACTATTTCTAATCCCTACTTAAATGAATTGGTGCCTCCTAGTTACTATTTTTCTCTCACTCAATAGAAAAGAATGTTTGAGAAGTTTTTTTTTTCCTAAAGCTCTGTGTCTCAATATGGGCGCATCAGAAATTTTTAACCTTATCTTCATGGAGCATTGTGGCAATACAAGAACCTAGGTCAACACATTATTTGTATTAATTTGATTTATTGATAATCCTAGCACTCCTGCTAGAGAAATATGGATTCCTGAATTAAAGTCTTGAGTGTTTGCAAGATGAGAACTGAACTGGATTTTGGATATGTTATAACATTTGTTTAATGTTATTAAAGAGATTATTTTTAGAAAAGAGAAATATACATTTGATTTTACAATTGTAATTGTTTACAGTTAAAATTTACTATACTGCCTCAAAAACTTGGCAGAATGAGGCAGAGTATAAGTAAATAATGAAGTAATTAAAATTCAAAGTGTGTTTGAGGTTCAATTTTGTTACAAACAAAACAGTATTCTTTAATAACTGATGGATTTTTGTTTTAAAAAAAACCTTGGAGCTATGTGAGATGTCTGGTACAGTTGGTGGAGTTTAAGTCACCCATTGCCTCCAGATAACACTGAAGTATTATTTTATCCTGTAGATCAAACAGAGAAGCTTTGTCTTAGGAATTCTAAGAAGCTGTCTTAAACATTTCTTTCTGGTATAAGATGTAATTATTGAGTGACTCCTCTAGAATGGTGACACATTGTTAGCATATCTAAATAGTGACTAAAATTTAAGATGGATTCCTAAGAATTTTTTTCACCAAAATAAAGTGATACTCCTTTCTTTCTCCACATTTTTCCTTTTTTTCCTAATGAAATTACCTCAAACTGGCTTTCCGATGCCTCCCCCTCTCTTTTTTCCTCATTGCCAATGCTACTGCTTGATTTTTTTTTTAAATACTACAAATGCAGCACTGTGTTTGATTAAAACTGTAAAAACTCCCCCCAAAAATTGTTAAAGTTATAGTCCAATGATTCAGAAATTTCAGTAGCTGCCTAATATTTTTATACCATTGAGTTATACACTAAACGGTTATGTAGTGTGGATCTCTTAATGGCAAATCCCAGTCCTTTCCTGCTTAGTGTGCCATTCGAGACCCCTGCCAAATCTTTGACACTGGCCAGCCCACCCTCCAACCGTCTCATACACACAAACCTGAACTTCAAAAATCACCTTGTTAACTCATCCTCACTTGGATCACCGGACACCTAAGAACCTGGGAGATGATGTGCAGGTGTAAATACCTTCCTAGTAATATGTGCTTCTGGGACATGTGCACCTTTTATTCTTTGTAAACTTTTTATTGAAGTATAGCATAAGTATTTTTAAAATGCACAAATCCTACATATACAGCTTGATGAATTTTCACAAAGTTAACACATCTGTGTAACCAACACCAAATCAAGAAAGAGAATATTGCCTCCATCGAGAAGCCCCCATTAAGAGGAACCACTATCCTGACTTTTAACACCATAGATTAGTTTTGTCTGATTTCAAATTTTATGTAAACTGGAATCATTTCGTATGTACTCTTTTGTGTCTGGCTTTTTTTGATCAGTATTTTGTTTGTGAGATGTATCTATGTTATTAGAGTTCGTTCATTCTCACTGCAGCATAGTATACTCCACAAATACAAATATACCACAATTCTACAGTGATAGACATTTGGCTTGTTTCCAGTGTGGGGCTTATATGAATAACGCTGCTGTAACAGCCTGGTGACACCCCATCTTTCTTATAGACTGCAAACAATTTTTTCATCTGCATTTTTTTCTTTCTTTCTTTCTAGAACACTATTAGAGAATGGCAAACTGTTTTCTGTATCGCTGCTGCTATTAATGTATTTGGTGCAGTTTTCTTCACACTATTCGGCAAAGGTGAAGTACAAAACTGGGCTGTCAGTGATTACCATGGACACAGAAACTGAAGGAACCAATAAATAATCCTGTCTCTATTGGTATACTTTCATTTAATCATGTAACCTAAAAGTGCCTTTGATACTTTAATGTGTAAGTATTCTGTATACAAAAAAATTGTATTTAAGTTTTTAAGGATTATAATCATGAAATGTAACTAGTTGCCAGTTTAGTAAAATTAGCTATTTTTAATTATTAATAATACATATGCTGTAACTTATACTTTGGGGTCACATTCCTGGCTGCACGTCAGGCAACATGAAGTAGAAGTTCTATTTATTTTTAAGGGCTGTACTTAAGGGAATGAGCTGCAAGGATCTCCTCTAGCTTTGCTGATTTAAGCTAGAGAATAATTCTCAGGTCTTAGTAAACACCTGTTTTTGTCCTACCTCCTTCATGAAAATCGTTCGTCATTAGATCTCTTGACACTTAGGTTTGAAACTTTAGCATCTCCATGGAGCTGCCAGCCACTGAATAATTTGACCTGGCAACTGGACTAAGGGAAACATGCCCAGGCAGCTGCCAAACATTCCTTCCCTGGCTTCAGGGACCAAGTACCCAGCATTTACCAAAGGCAGCCTCCCAGCCTGGGGTCAGCGCATGTCTGTGGACAGTGTTCCTGCCCAGGAGCTGTTGACAAGTCGATAAAGCCCTGAGTAGGCAGCCCCAGGGAATCCATAGCCATGGTCTTGATGCACCCTCAAACCTTTCCTGGTGCACTGGTATACTGATTGACATGTAACCTGCAAAAGAAAAGTAGGGTGCCCAGTTAATCACAAGTAATGTCATCCTTGACTCAAACTAGCTTTGTGTGAATCAGAGTTTAAATTTCTGAATCCTGTATTTTTTCAGCCACACCAGAATAAAAAATTTTTTAAATTTTAAATCCTCTCACTTTTTCTTCAGTCTGTCTTCATGTAAGCTAAGTGTAAAGTGACTGTTAAAGGCCACATCACCAAAGACTAGGGACATAGTCATCTTTACTGCAGGTAGCTGAAATCACAGTTTTCCAGTTTTTTCCTAGACCGTCTTCCAGTAGTTCTTGAGCATGCTCTGAAGGCATTTTTGTGATTTAAAACTTGGTTTGTGTTTATTCAACACTACCTGTAACATTTTAACTGAGAAAACTGTTCAGTGTAATATGATGTGAATACATTCATGTAAATTTATTTTTTAAATTTGTAAATAGCTTTAAATTGTTATGGTGATACTGCTTTTATAAATCATCAAAATAATAAACCTTTTTGAATTGATTTTTGAATCTGACAATTCTATGATATTCTCTAGTGTCCACAGTGACCATTTTACGTCTTTCTGCATCCTCCTTAAGCCACCAGTTTACCTCTACGTGCATCTCTCACTCTCAAAGATGACCCTACACCACCAGGCTGAGGAAACTTGGGCCATCCAAATGCTGCAGCTTCAGAAATCCTCTATTGTCATCAACCTGCCCTTCCTAGTTCTGAAAAGGGTCCACTCTTCTTCCTAAAGCATATACGTATATCATGAGTCTAGCCTTTTCCCATCTCTCCTAAGACCTTGCTTCAGTAATTCCTCTCTACTTTGCTTCTTCAATCTCTACCTCTCTTCTTGTTCTTGTCCTTCTGTCTCAAAGACACGTGTCTTTTCTAGCCTTTAAAAGCAAACACAAAGCTCTCCTGGGAACATAAAAACACACACATATATATACAGAATATCTCTAGAATAATACTTAAGGAACTGGAAATCTCTAGTGAGAGAAAACAAGAAACCGGGAATGGGAAGGAGAATTAAATTTCAACTTTACCAAATGAGGCAATATAAACTATTCAAATAAATACCAAAATACTAGTTACCATCAAGTCAGCTCCAACTCATGGCAACCCCATGTGTGTCAGAGTAGAACAGTGCAGCATAGGGTTTTTAATGGCTAATTTTTCCAAAGTAGATCGCCAGGCCTTTCTCCCAAGGTAACTCTGGGTGGACTCAAGCCTCCAACCTTTCAGTTAGGATCCAAGCACATTAACCTGTGCACCACCCAGGAACTCCTCCCAATAAATACATTGTTTTAAAAAGCAAAAACAAAACAACCTGCTTACTCAAGCTACTGCATAATCACCACCAGGTTTTTAACTGCCTGCTGGATGTCCCACTGGCTGGCCTCTTGGCACCTGAGACTTGTTTAAATTCAGCCTCATTCGCCTGCCCCTGCTGCCTGCCTTATTCGTGTTAAAATCACCATTTCCCCAGTCATGTAGGCTTGAACCTGGACTCATTTTTCATTCTTCCTCCTCCCTAGTCTCCCACCGCTACTCCCACCTCCATATCTAATCAACTACCTGTCTTCTCTATTCATTTTCCAACTCTGGAATTTTTTGTAAATCCCTCTGCCATCTCCTAAATGAGAGATCCTTGTATATTTTGTTTCCACCTGGAACATAAAACTTAAGTGATCTCGCTGCCTTTGATCCTGATCTCTTCCATCCCAATTTCCCACCAGTGCTAGGTTAACCTTCGCAGTACATCTAATAGATCAGGATGCTCCCCAAAGGTGAACCCCCATGGCTTCCCTTCACCTTCCCAATAAACTCTTCAACCCAGCATCCATGCCCTCCTCACTCCTAGGCCCAACCTACTTCATCCTCATCTCCCATCATGCCTACTTTGAGCTAAATCGGGCTTCACTCTTCCCCAGGCTTGCTCTCCATTTTTCCGTCAATCTCCATACCTTTACTAATTGCATTCATTGGGACTGAAATGCCGCTTTTCAATCCATCTCCTTCATGACCCCTGATTTCTTGGCTCCCTCCCTAATCTAGACGTAGTCTCTTCCTTTGATCCATCAAAACACCAAATTGTGTGTTATTTCTTGAGAGTTTTTTTTTTAATTCAAGGACTTAGGTTCAGTTACAAGAAAGAGAGTATTCATTCCTTCTTTCTTCCTTTCTTCATTCATTTAACAAACAGTGACTATTCTGTCCTAGGCAATAAGAAAACAAATGTGCATTTGACATAGACTTTACACTTCCAGACACCTCCCTAGAGTTCAGTGTGGCTCCTAATGCCCTTTCTCCTCCAGCACTTTCTTTATAATGCTTATAAGCAGATGTATGTGGCTGTCTCCCTATTAGATTCATCACAAACATCTTGAAGGCAAAGTCCACATGGCCTCCCTCATAGCAACATGTGCTTTGTCCATTTTAGCTGCTTAACATGTATTTAGTAAATAAATTTTCGACTAAATGGCCTATAGAAACTGATTTTTTTTAAAACGTTTTATTGTGTTTTAGGTGAAAGTTTACACAGCAAATTAGTTTCCCGTTCAACAATTTATACACAGTTCATTCCAAGACATTGGTTGCTATCCCCCTGCAAGGTGTCAGCACTCCCGATTTCCACCCTGCCTTCCCGTTTTCCATCCCTCCAGTTGCCCTGCCCCCCTTGCCTTCTCATCTTTGTTTTTATGCAAATCTTGCCCATTTGGTCTCTTACAGTGGATTGTTCTGAGAAGCACATTCCTCACAGGTGTTACTGTTTATTTTATAGGCCAATCTATTGTTTGGCTGAAAGGTGACATCCTGGAGTGGCTTCAGTTCCAGATTAAAAGGGTGTTTTAGGGCAACAGTCTCAGGGCTTTGTTCAGTCTCTATCAGTCCAGTAAGTCTGGTCTTTTTTATGAATTTGAGTTTTGTTCTATATTTTTCTTCCACTCTAACCAGGACCTTCTATTGTGTCCCTGCTCAGAGCAGCTGGTAGTGGTAGCTGGGCACCATCTAGTTCTTCTGGTCTCAGACAAGAGGAGGCTGTGATTTGTGTGGGCCATTAGTCCTGGGACTGATGGCTTCCTTGAGTCTTTGGCTTCCTTCACACTCCTTTGCTTCAGATGGGAAGAGACTAATAGTTTTATCTTAGATGGCCACTTGCAAGTTTTTAAGACCCCAGAGGCTACTCACCAAACTAGGATGTAGAACGTTATCTTTATGAACTATGTTATGCCAATTGACCTACATGTCCCCTGAGATTATGGTACTTAGCCTTCAAGCCCAGTAACACGAGGTGTTTGGATATGTCTAAGAAGTTTCCATAACTGTGCCATTTATGTGCTCTATTATATATATGAATATATATGCAGCACACACGAACATGTGTATACAAATGCCCACAATTATATCTATATTTGCATGCACATGTACTCCCATATGCCTTTCCACACCTATATAGCATATATATCTACCTATGTAACCACTCACAAATTTTTGGTTATTATTACTCTTGTTGGAGAATTGTATATGTTAATAGCATTTACCATAGTTGTCCTTTATCCTTGCATACCTCTCAGTGTCTTCCTTTGCCTTGATCATCTTGTGCTCACTTCCCCCATATTGTGTATTACCTTTCCCTTCACCAGAATTAACAAGTGTCTACTATCTAGAAAGTGATTCTCCCTCCCTCCCGCTCCCATCCCTGGTAAACATCAAAGAATGTTGCTTTCTGTATGTAAACCTATTCTTGACTTTTTATAAAAGTGGTATCATTAAGTAGTTGTCCTTTTGTGACTGACTTATTTCACTCAGCATAATGTGCTCCAGACTCAACCATGTTATAAGATGTTTCATGGACTCATCATTATTTTTTATCATTGTGTAGAATTCCATTTTATGTATGTACCACAATTTGTTTATCCATTCATTCATTAATGGGCACTTAGATTGTTTCCATCTTCTTGCTATTGTGAGTAATGCTGCAATGAACACGGGTGTGCATATGTCTATTCGTGTGACAGCTCTTATTTCTCTAGGATATATTCCTAGGAGTGGGATTGCTGGATCATATGTTATTTCTATTTCTAGCTTTTGAGGAAGTGTCATACCATTTTCCATAGTGGTTGTACCATTTTACAATCTCACCAGCAGTGTATAAGAGTTCCAATTTCCCCACATCCTCGCCAGCATTTGTTGTTTTCTGTTTTTTTATCAGAGCCATTTTTGCAGGAGTGAGAATGGTATCTCGTACTGAATTTTTTTTTATGTTGTATATTGTTTTTAACAATGCATTTTGTTTTCTTATCAAAAAATTGTTAAATGTGCTGACACCTTTTAATGAAAAAATGATATGCTAACCTCAAAATAAGTTATAAATGATAGTTATTGGTAAATGGTTTTAAGTGTATTTGAGAATAGTTTATATAGGTAAAATACTTCTAGTTATTCAACAAATATTTATTGCAGGGCTTCAAACTAGTTTGTTCCATTTCGAACCCCTGCTGATAATTTGCATTTCTAACAAGTTCCCAGGTGACGCTAATACTGCTGGTTAGGGACAATTCTGAAAACCACTACTAGAACAGGGGGTTCTAAAATTTTATTATACAGAAGAATCGCTTGGGGATCTTGTTAAAATGTAGATTCTGATTCAGAATATCTGGGGTGGAAATTCAAATTCTCAGCAGGGGTTTGAACCAGAATGAATTGGTTCAAAGCCCTGATTTATTGAACGTTCATTATGTGCTAGGCATTGTTCTTTTCACTGGAATACAGCAGTGGGACGGGAAAAAAAGCAAGTTATTTTTCTCAAGGAACTCACATTCTTATTTATTAAACCTTTTTCTTCATAGATCCCAGCCTTTGAAACCTTCCACGCAATACATCATTATCCATTCAACAATCAAATCCATTGGGAATAAGCATGCCAACAGACCTTGAGAGTCAGCTTTATGAAAGAAATTGAGACAAACACTGAAGTCAGCAGTTTGTATTGACCATTGCCATGTCTTTCCTACTTCAGCCTTTGTCTCATTTTCAAGAAATCAAAAGTAGAGGTGTTTGAATTTGACCCTGTTGCAAAGTAGATGATCTAATGTCCCCTGTGAGGGCAGCACATTGCTGTTCAAAATAAAATTGAAATTTTTTTCAAAATAGAAAATGATTAATATAGTATTTAAATTTGAAGGCAGGAAAAACACTATAGGAAGTACCCTGGTTCTCTTCAGTAAAATCACCTTACTTCCTCCCTGAATAGACACAGGGTAAATAGCTAATGTCAGTTAAAGATTAAATTCTCTTCAGATGAATTCTGAAGGGAAAGATAACACACAATTTAGGGGAAGTCAGCACAACTTGACCAAGGCAAAGTCATAGAAGTTTCCTAGACACATCCAAATACCTCAAGGGACCAAGTTGCTGGGGCTGAGGACTGACAACCATAGTCTCAGGGTGCATCTAGGTCAATTGGCATAACAGAGTTCATAAAGAAAATGTTCTAGATTCT